CTCTGTAGCCCTGGCTGTCCAGGAACTCACAGAGATCCTCCATCCTCTGCCTCCCAAGTGCTAGGATTAAAGACATGTGCCACCAGGCTTGGCAAACTCTTTTTTAAAAAAACAAGGTTGTGATCTCCTATTTTTCAGGACCCAGCCACCTGAGTCCACATCTATTAAGCCTGCTATTTAACTTAAAATCAAAATTTAAATATTCAGAATTTGGCCCATGCCATTAATCTCAGCTCTTGGGAGGCGAGGCAGGCGGATATCTGAGTTTGAGCCCAGCCTGGTCTACGGATCTAGTTCCTGGACAGCCAGAGCTACAGATAAACTGTCTTGAAAAACCAAAATGAAAGAAAGAAAGAAAGAAAGAAAGAAAGAAAGAAAGAAAAAGAAAGAAAGAAAGAAAGGAAGGAAGGAAGGAAGGAAGGAAGAAAAAAGAAAAGGAAAGTAGAATTAATTGAAATGTTTTTTGTCTTTCCCCTCAACACACACTCTCACCCCCTGCCAACAAAAAAAAAAAAAAAAAAAAAAAAAAAAAAAAGGAAACCAGGATGGCCTGAACTCATAGAAATCTACTTGCCTCTGTCTCCCCAGTGCTGGGATTAAAGGTATGAGTCACCTTACCTGGCTAAAAACAGCTAAAGGGCTTTATTGTATGTTTAAGAGTTAGCAACTGACCTCATCACCTAACTGAGTCACAGGCACAGGCTCCCCAGGATTTTCATCATGAAAGAATGTTAAATTTTGTAAAGAGCCTTTTCTGTGTCTACTGAAATGACCATGTGATTCCTGTCTTTGACTATATATATATGAATTACACTTATTGATATAAGTATGTTGAATCATCCGGGCATGTTTGCAATGAAGTCAATTGGATCATGATGAATAATCTTTTTGATGTTATTTGAATTAGGTTTCCAAGTGGTTTTTTTTTTTTTGAGACTTTATGTCTATATTCATCAGGAAAACTGACACACAATTTTATTCATATTTTTCCTTATTTGGTTTTGGTATCAGGGAAATACTGGCTTCATACAGAAGACTGGAAGAACTCCTTCCTTTTCTTTTTTTATAGAATAATTTGATTCTTCTTTGAAGGCCAGTGAATCTCTCTGGTCCAGTTTTTTTTTAAAGTGGCATTTTAAAAAATTGTTGTTTTAAATACATTGCTATAGATCTGTTTAAATCATTTATTTAATCGTGGTTAATTGTCAAAGGTCTTATATGCATGCAGACTTAAAAGCAGTAGATGAGGAAAAATAATTAATTCAGGGTAGACATTAATGAAGTAGAAATGAAACAACAAACCACAAGACACAAATAATCAATGAAATGGACAGTTCTTTGCCAAAATAACCAAAAAGAAAGAGGAAGACTCAAATCAACAAAATTAGAAATGAAAAGGGAAATATTGCAATACATGTCAAAGAAACTCAGAAAATCATAAGTGTATAAAACATCTATATTCCACTAAACTGGAAAATCTAAAAGAAATGGACTAATTTCTGTATGCATATAACAAGGCAAAAAGGAGCACACAAAGTTGGGAGGGAGATACGTTGGGGAAGATCCTGAGGGCAGTAGAGGGAGCAGGGGGCAGGTATGATTAAGACATATTTTATACGTGTATGACACTTTTGAGAGAATGAACAAATAAATAATGAAATAAATTCAATTTTTTTTAAAAGAACGAGAATGTATTCAATTCGGAAATAACGGTAACCTACAGTAAATAACTTCAATGGATGCGACAAGAAAACACAACTCTAATCTGGCTCCAAACAAGCCTTTTACATCCAGTAAATACTGCAGTAAGAATCGCTATGCGGGGCTGGAGGGATGGCTCAGTGGTTAGGAGTGTGTACTGCTCTTCCAGAGGACCTGCCTTCGCTTCCTACTACCCTCCTCAGGGGATGACAACTGCCTGGAACTCCTGCTCCGGGGATCTGGCCTCTGAGGGCACCTGCATGTACATGGCAAGCACATGCACACACACACAGAGAGAGAGAGAGAGAAAGAGAGAGAGAGAGAGAGAGAGAGAGAGAGAGAGAGAGAGAGAGAGAGAGAGAAATAAAATGGAAATAATTTTTTTAAAAAATGAATCACTGTGAGGGGAGGGCTGGGGAGATGATATCAGAAGTGATTATTAATTATGCACTAGGAGCGGAGTGTGGGTCCCCAGCACCCACACAACCGCTAGGTAGACATGGCATTTGAGAGGTGAAGACAGGAGATCCCCAGAGCAAACTGGCTAGATAGAGTAGCTGAGAGACAAGCTCACCTGCTTGACGGGGCTCCTGGCAGACCTGATGATTGGGACAGCAAGTACACACAGTACAGACAGCCTTGCGTGTTCACAAAGGGCCTGGAGTGCTGAAACCTATACATGACTTTGAGCTTGACCTGACTGGAAGAACTCGGTGTGTTTACCGCATCAACAACACCCCTAAGCCTTTGGACGCTTTAGGCCCTAGAGCAGCTAAAGGCAGACAGGCGGCTCCAGAGTTTTATCTACCCACCGGCTTCAGACCAGAATAAGAGTAGACGGGAGTAGAAGCTGCCTGCAGGTCCTGAAGGACAGAGTCAGTGTCAGAAAAACAGCCTATATTCCAAGCACAGGAAGAGAGGAAGCGCGTGAAAGGACACTTGAGAGCTGCATAGGAAAGCCAGGTGACCCAGAGAGGCCAGCACAAGACAGCTTGAGCCACAGGCTCCCCGGAGGGAGGTGGGGGTGGCGGGTTGGGTGGGACGGTGTGGAGGGTGCAGCAGCTGCTTCCAAAAGGCAGGGCAAGCCAGGCGAGAGGCAGGAAATGCCACCCTTGGCCAAAGCGCGCAGTTCGAACAAGTCTCAAAGTAGTCGCAGACTTTGATGGGACGTTGATTGGGACGGTGGCAAAGTCACGACGCTCTATGGCTTGGAGGGCAACGAATGGGAATAGATTGTTAAGAAGAGGAGCCCAAGAAGAGGGCGCAGGGCACAGGGACCGTCCAGGCGGGCGCAGTGGAAAGAGGCAAACTCATGGAAGTGCAGCCGGAGAGAGAGAGCTCCATCTCCAGTGCCCGGGAGCAGATCACCTCAACCCCGCATTAAACCTTCCCGGATTAACAAAGGAAAATGGGTAGGAACTTGAGGTGGTCGTCCTCTGACGGAGTGTTGGTAGGTCTGGCCCTCCGTGCGTGTGTAGACCCAGTGGTGGTCACATGAGCCCAGTGCTGTGGTGCCCAGCTGTAATCAGGAAACAAGACAAAAAAAGGACGGTGAGTTAGAGGCCGGGCTAGGATACATCCGGGGAATCACGCCCAGCACAATCAGGTGAGAAAGCAGGAACACTGGCCGACAGACGGATAAGACAGACAAAACTCATCCAGGAAGACGCTAGCTTGCAGTTGCTGCTCACAGCCCCGCGCAGGGAGCACTTCTTGCTGGGGGATGCCGCGTCTGCTCCCCTCCCGTCCCTGCGTTCCCCTCAGTCCCCAGATCTCAGCTTTGCTCTTTCTACCACGTATTTTCCTTCTACTCAAGGCCAGAAAATCCGGGAAGGGGCCGCAGAAGGAACCTCCGTATCCACAACCCACAATGTTATTTCGAAAAAAATTAAACATTACTTTTAACTTCAGTATCTATAGTTTTGCATCTGGAATGATAATAGCAGACGTGAATAGCTGATATAAGCAGTTAGTGCTGTGAGGAAGGCTGAAGTCAATTCGCAGACTGATGAGCTCATGGAGCACAGTTTCCTGAGCCTTCTGGACGCAGCTAGAGTACACACTGCTACTTCGGTGCGGGGTGTTAAGAAAGAGACAAAATAAAATGTCACGCTGTTCCCATACCGGGAGTCGAACCCGGGCCGCCTGGGTGAAAACCAGGAATCCTAACCGCTAGACCATATGGGAGCTGACGGCAGGTGTCTCTGTTTTGTCTGCTATGTCATCTACGTCAGCAGGGACGTTTGCCCAAACTCCACCCCTTCGATCTTTCAGCATCTTCACTTCCTGGGGATCCCGCGGCTGCCCCAGTCTGGTGGCCGGAAGGATGGAACCTCGCTGTGCATGGAAATGGGGCGGAAGTCAGCAGCCAACAGCAGTTTGCTGAGCACTGTTTTCCCCCTATGGCAGCAGTGTCGCGCTTACCGGAGCCGGGCACACCCGAAGCCCAGGCCCGCGGTAAACGCCCTTGTGGGCTCGACCTAGACTCAATCCTGTGGACACTGGCGTGATCAGCATTCCACGAGAGGTCCTCCCGCAGAAAGAATTTACGGTCATCACAACTGTGTTCTGTCCTCTCTGCAAGCAGAGATGTCGCTTTATTGTTAAGAAACTCAGCCGACTGGCGTGATGGTGGATGTCTTTAACGCTTCCAAAACTCGGAAAGCAAAAACTGTTCAGTTCTTGTAAGGTCACACCCCTTCTGGTTTACACACTGCCCTTCTCAAATTAAAAACAAAACGAAGGGCAGAGAACCATTTTTCTCTTTAGTTACAATAGCCCCAAGCATACAGGCACCAGAGAATCTGGAAGGGGAAGGGGGTGCTACCCATCTCACACAGGCTTGTAATTTGCTGTTAGTCTTTTTGCTCTTTATCATTAAAAGTTGGTAATAACCTTATAAATAATTTTCAGATACTCAGCCAGAAAAATTTACAGCATGAACTTTATAGAAAAGCTGGGCACACGATTCACTGAACAACCCAGCTGAAACCACAGTAAATTATCGCATTAATACAACCCCAGATCCAAAAATCAAATAAATTATGATTGATTTAAGGGAGTCTGAAGTGATGGCTTAGTGGTTATGAGCACTCTCTGGCTGCTCTTCAAGAGGACTCAGGATTTCCCAGCACCCATAAGGCAGCTCACAACCATCTGTAACTCAAGTTCCAGGAGATCCATCACCTTCTTCTGGTCTGAGGGCATGAGGCAACCACATGGTGCATAGACATACATGCTGGTAAAGCACCCATACACACAAATAAAATAAAATTGATTTAAGAAATGAAAGAGCTTGGTGACAGTTACCCTAGCTTTCACTTTATTCCATTTTTCTGTACAGTGTTACATATTTTTACAATTAAGAAGTAGAAAAACCAATATAAGGAAAATTAAATCAGGAAGAAATATTTACACCCTATAAATGGTTACATCCCCTCCTCAAACACAAGTCTCCAGACACTGTTCAAGTTAGCTCAGTAGAAAAGTGCAGCAGGACACAGTTCCCAGACACAGGAATACAAGTTCAGGAAGCAAAGAGGCTGGACTACACTTCTAGAAACAAAAGTGGGAAGGTCCCTTCAAGTTCCTTGAGAGAATGTCAAAGTGTTTTTTTCCTTTTATAATAGAATACCCCCTCCTACCTGACAGTCTGCTCTGGTGTGTGTGTGTGTGTGGGGGGGGGTCTTACATAATTTTAAAGGGTCTCTAACTCCAGGGCTTAAGTGATCCTCCTGCCTCAGCCTCTAGAGTTGCTGGGACTATAAGCATGCACTACATGCCCAGGCAGAGGTATTTTTACTGACTGGAACTGTCCTGATCTGGCCTAGGTCTGCAGACTCCTTTTCTTCCCTGCACCATGCATGTTGGCTCTGCCAAGGTTCCTCATTTGTTCACTGACTTGCCCACAAGGAGGGAGGCCCTATGAGAACGTGCACCTAGAAGAGGTTTCAGACAAGCTGCTTTCAACACTGCTCAGCTTGCCTCACAAACTTCCTAACTCAACTTCCTAATTCACAAGGCTGGAAACAATACGGACTAAGGACATTTCTAGGAGGGGCAGTAGCTGAGACAGGGGCTATTATGAAAGATGGCCTGAGTAGGGCAGTGACACCCAAGATCGCTATGCTTAATGCCTTTGACAGTAGGTTCAGATCAGGCAGGCCCAGGGTCCAACTCCTTCAGTTTTTTCTGGAGGCCCCGGACCTGACCCTGACCCCAGTTGATTCGAGTCTGGAGGTTGGCTATATCTGCAGCCAGCTGAAGGCCTGGGGAGAGAAGAAGAATGTCACCATGGTATGACACATGGACCTACCCACCCCCACCTCAGGGACCACAGGAGTATCAGCCTCTCTGGCCTCTACAACAGTCTAAATGTTCCAGCTATGACATCGGCCCATACCCTCACCTCCTTAGCACCTCACTGTGCTAAACCATCATCCCCTCAAAAACAAAAAACCCTCCCTTGACTCACTGTGCTTGCCAGGAATGAGCACCTCACAGATCACACAAACCTCATGGTCTCATTTCCTCGGTCCTGCAAACTCACTGTTCTGAGCTGCCCCCCTCCACCCTTCCTTTGCACCTGAGCATGACCCACCCTCTCAATCCACCCCTAGGCTACCCCCACCTCTGCTCTCTATCCCTCTACCTCACCCAGCAGGCCAGGCCGTCCTGTCTTTACCCTCCAGGGCAGCAGGACTGCAGACTCATGTCTCCAGTCCTCCAGGGAACACTTCCTCGAAATTCTTAGATTCTAGGATACCCCCGTCTGTGGGTCCTGGCCTGCAGTCTCTTCTTGGGTATCCCCTGGCCCTCAACTCAATTTTTCTGTGCGTCCTTGTCAACAACTTGGGAAAGTAAACGCCAGCACTCCACCCTGGAATTCCGAATCTCTCTCCAGCAGACACTGGTGCCGAACCACAAGAACCCACCCACGACTGCCACTCAGCTCTCTCTCAGCTGCTGCCTGGGAGGATGCCCACCACCACAGGTGGGACAGCTCTGTCCTCCCAGAGTCCTGAGAGGACTCTTCTCTTTCCTTCACTCCTGCATTTAAGTTGTCAGCAAACACTGGGGCTTCCATTCTCAAAATGTGTGCAAGTTCTCACAGTTTACCTCACTTCCAATGCCTCCACCTACAACCCATGGCTGGTCAATCCTGCCTGCTCTCTGCTCTGCAGTCTGTCCCCACTCAGCATCCCAAGGATTCTTGTTACTCTGTTGTTCCTACTGATTCTAGATTCACCCACGGAACCTCACTAGGGCCTGGCTCCCTGGCCCCAGCTCCTGGTATCCTGCTCTGCTGACTCCACTCCAGCCCTCTGGCCTCCTCTGCTTTTCCCCAGTCCACATAACCCCCTACCCGGGGCTTCCACCCTAGTAACTAGACCAGATAGAGCCTAGTTGGTCTCCTTAGCTAGAACAGAGTTCCTCCAGATCACTCACAAAGTTCTTCGTCTCCTCGGAGAGGCCTTTCCTGTCCCATCTTCATAAACCAGCTCCCCAGCCCACTCCCTCCCATGTTACTATTTTCATGACTTTCAGAGCCTGGAACTACAATAAAAGTCTATTTGTTGCCTATCTATTTATACACGGTTGGAATTCAGTACATGGCTATAAAGCCAACAGGGTCCACTCACCATCCCGGAAGCTGGCCTGGGCCTGCCGAAGACTGTGAGGAACCAAGATTCCAAACCAGTTCAAGGGATCTTGAGGGACCACAGAGGTCCCTGACACTTGGGTCTTGGTAGGGCCCTTGCGTCTGCGCAGAGCTGGAGAAAGAAAGGTTAAAGGCCATACAGTCTTCATGACCACAGTGAGTCTATTAATCTAAGTTCACGGTTCTGGAAAACACTGAAGGTTAGAAATTTCCCCCAACAAGCCGAGTGTGGTGATGCACGCCTTTAATCCATGCACTTGGGAGGCAGAGGCAGGTGGATCTCTGTGAGTTCAAGGCCAGCCTGGTTTACAGAATAAGTTCCTGGACAGCTAGGGTTGTTACACAGGGAAACCTTGTCTTGAAAAACCAAAAAAGAAAAAAAGACAAAAAGAAAAAGAAATTTCCCCCAACCTTTTTGTGTGTCTAGAAATAGTACTACCTCTCCTTTTGTAATCCAGGTAACTCTGTGTTTACTGACTTCCAGAAGGGATGATTCTGTCTGCTGGTAACAAGATCACAGACCGACCTTGTCCCTTTTCCCTAAATGTTCTGGAAGACCCTATCATTCCCCATTCTTTGTCTCAGGAATGATTAACTAGGATTAGAGGTTTATTTCCAAGGAACACTTACAGAGATGCACATTTTCCGTTCAGCTGATGAGACTTCCTTTGACTGCAAAACCTATCCCACTATAAAACATCCCACCTATAACTTCCTATCAAAGTATAAGGAAAAGCCGTCCTAACACATTCCAATTGTCTCCAGCTTAGGCGCGCTCCATTAACCAGATGAAAGTAATCCTGAGTGTTCAGTGAGTTTTGCCTTTAGCATTAAGAGCTGACAGGAGGAAAGAGAACTCACATGCCTCGCTGGGTCCCACTTCCTCGGGGGTCTGGGCATCAGCTTTGATCACCCTGAAGGTCTGGGGTCCATCCTGGGCCTCGCTGTAGGAGAAAGGAAGATGGATCTCTGGCCACGCAGGCCTATGTCCTGCCCACCCCACTCTACATCGAGGGCACCTCACCTGGCGCGCACGCAGATCTGAGGCTCCATACACGAGGCATACTGCAGGGGCCCTACGGACTTGGCGCCCATGGCATAGCGAGCCTTGGCAAGCGAGAACCATCCCTGGGGAGACAGGAGAGACTTTAGACTCGGTTTCCCTCCCTGGGCCCGCCATCTCTCCCTCCCTCCAGTGCCCGTGGTCCACCTCCTCCACCCGGGCGTTCAACGCCGCCCGCTTCGCCTCCAGTTCCTCCAGGTCGCTGAGCAGCTGCAGGTACATCGAGTCCAACTCCTCTCGCAGGGCCGAGACCGCCATCGCCCAGCCGCTGTAGGGACGCGGAGGAGCTAAGCCACCGCCTCCCAAGCCGCCTAACCACCGCTAGCGCATGTGTATGCCAGCCAATCGGCGCCTGAGACCCGCCTCTAGGGGGCGTTCCTAGTCGTGGCCCGGAAGTCAAAGGCTACGACATCCGGGTCGCCCGTATCAACGGCCAGGGCACGCCTGGCACCAGGACGCCGGCTAGCGCCTGAAGTGGGACATTTTCTGAGTCGGATGGTTATGAACAGTCGGGCCTTAACTCCAGGAAGCCATCCATCTCGTTTTCCGCTTCCATTCTTCGCGAGACGACGGTTTGAACAGCTGACGGACTAGTGAAGCCGCGGGCAGACTCCATTCATCTGGGCTGTCTTAAACCACGTGACCTTCCGCGTCCAGGTACTTGATTGGCTGCCTGACTGACCAATAGCCTTGCGACGCCATCCGCCATCTTAACATGGGGCACTCTGGACGGCAGTCGAGTCGAGTGAAGAAGCCTCTCGAGGCCATCTTGGTTGAGGGCGGAAGTGAGCGCTGCGTGGTGCCGGAGTTGCCTGAAGATCCCAGACGCGTGTGGGAGCGGCGCTCAGCATGGTAGGATGTTTGAGTTCGCGTTTTGGCTTGACGGGGGCGAGGGAACGGGGACTAATGGAGGACTGGGTTGCTGGGTTGTGGTCCTCGGTGGTCGGAAGTAGATAGCGACCCTGTCTGTTCCCCAGCTCCGTCGGGAGGCTCGCCTGCGCCGCGAGTACCTGTACCGCAAGGCCCGGGAGGATGCACAGCGATCGGTTCAGGAGAAGAAGGAGCGAGTCAAGCGTGCTCTTGAAGGTAATTAATGCCTCTCTGGTCTGGTGGGGTCCTAGACCTTACTAGAGCATACTATACAGTGGTGTAAACGCGTTTGAACTTCGTGTACTAGTGTGGCTGAACATCGTTCCGTTCTTTGCCTGTTAGGTAGGACCTCTCACTGGTTTCTGAATGGTCCCACCAGATGATGGTATGGCTGTTGGTGCTGCAGTCCTCTATGTTTACAGGTTGATTGTTAGTTTTGCTTACAGAAGTTTAAAACTTGGCCTTTCTTTTGTCCACACTTCCATTTGCCTCATTAAATGAAGTTCCTATATCACAAGGCTTAATTGGAAATGTCATATTTATCCCTATTTTGTTGGTCCTGTATCCAAAGAGCTTTATGCCTATCTGATAATACATCACCTCTGGTACCTCTGACTAAATTTTCATTTTGCAGTTCTTAAGATTTATGACTATAAAGTATATATGTGTTAAGTAAAGTTTGCGTTAAGAAGCATAATGTTAGGGCTAGGATTGCACCTTAGTTGTTAGACTGCTTGCCTAACATGAAGGGGGCTCTGGATTGTGCCTCCAGCCTGACTAAACTGGGCCTGGTAGCCTATGCCTCTAATCCCAAACTAGGGAGTTGGAGGCAAGCAGATCGGGAGTTCAAGGCCTGCTCTGGCTGCATGAGTTCCAGATCAGCTTGGGCTGTATAAGCATAATGTTAAGCATCTGTGACCCATCTTCATAACTTCAAAAAAAAAAATGGAGGTGACTGTAAAGATGACTCAAGGGTTAAGAGCACTTACTGCTCTTACAGAGGACCCAAATTCATTTCCTAATACCCACATGGAATGGCTCACAACTGCTTATAACCCCAGCTCCAGGGGTTCCAGTGGCCTCTGGCAGCAGCCACATGTGTAAACTCAGGCAGGCACACACACACACAAAAAGAAAAAAATGATTGATATATTAACATTTATAATGATCACTGTATTAAATATTGCATTAAAAGGAACCATTTTTGTTATATTAGTATATGTGTTTGGCTGTTTTATTTGTTTGGGTGGGGGCGCTCAGTATTGTTTCTAAGATCCAAAAGGTATGGCTAGACATTCCTTGTGAGTATCCCTGGGGATAATCCTTTTCCTGTGGCAGATAGGAGCTTATTTTCAGTTGGTAGCTAGAAAGAGTACTGCTGCTAGGACCCTGCCCTCTACCACCACATGCTGGAGAGCAGAACTGGGCCTGTGGATGGCATGCTCAAATGTGTTTTTTCCAGAGTGGACACACCACAGCTTAGCCCCTCGCTACCTCACTTTAGTCCGCAGAAGAAATCTCTGACCCTCAACCAGCTGAGGCCACTCACCTTGAAGTGTTCAGTGCATCACGACTAGCAATGTTCTTTTTATATTGTTTTGCTATTATTGTTTTAGAGGCAGGGTCTTACTTTGTAGCTTTGGCTGACTTGGAGCTCACTATGTTCACCAGACTAGCCTCAAACTCATAGAGATCCATCTGCCTCTGCCTCCTAAGCCCTGGGATCAAAGGCGTGGGCCACCACACCCGGTTTAATGTCCTTGTGTGAAGACTTCGGGGTCACTGGCCTTCCTTCCTACATAAGGAGCAGTCTGTTTCTTTCAAAAAAGCAACTTTTGTTTTTGTAGTGTTTCTTAGCACCAGGGTCTTAGACTTGCAAGCAAACTGCCCACCATTGAGTTACCAAAACTTCATTAAGTTTTTGTCTGGTTATAAAAATAATATATATTGATAATGACAAAGTATTTTAGAAAATGAGCTCCCCAGGTGCCTTAAGTTGACAATTAGGTGAAAAGAAGTTGGTAGCTGGGAGTCATGGCATGCCCTATAATCGCAACAGTTAGAAGCTAAAGCCATGCACATCTCACATGTCTCAAATAAGTAAAGTAGCTGGTTTATTACTTCTCTTTCTCCTGTATTTCTGTACTGACTCATTAAGAAAGAAGCACAATGCTTTTCCATCAAATTTGTGCAGACTAGTAAACCACACAGTATTCTATAAATTGATGGGACCCTGCTGTGTCTCACTCTGCCCCCTGTCTTTTCCTTGCAGAAAACCAGCTGATTCCCACTGAGCTACGCCGCGAGGCTCTCGCCTTACAGGGGTCCCTGGAGTTTGACGATGCTGGCGGTGAAGGTAAAACTGTGCTGTGCAGCCCTCTTCCATACTGAACCAGCTTCTCCGCTCACTGGGCTTCTTGTCCTCTTCCGCCACACTGGGCAGTTTCCCACCTGACAGAAGTGTCGAGGTGCGCTGTTTCTGTACCCGTCCCCAGCTCCACAGGGGCTCTCCCTAAATGAGTGCTTTTAGTCTTTGCTGACTCTCCCTCACTGGAATGCCTGCTGAGCAGAGCACTGTCCTTGGCACTGGTACCCAGATGTCTCATTCATTGCAGTATTTAATAGGCAGGAAAGGAATCACAGATATGATAGATGTTTATTGTGAGGAAAAGGAGTCTTCTCACTTCTTGTTTTAGCAGTTCAGGGTTTTGGGACCATAGACTATGTTATTGCTCCATTGTGCTTGGTAACCAGCGGTAGCTGTCCTGGCCACTAGAGGCGCATTTCCATCAGTGAAGGTTCTTGAGCAGACTCAGCATTTTTCTTGTCTCTTGTTCTCCTAACAGGTGTGACCAGCCACGTAGACGATGAATATCGATGGGCTGGCGTTGAAGATCCTAAAATCATGATCACTACCTCCCGAGACCCCAGTTCTCGCCTAAAGATGTTTGCAAAGGTACCAGGGGGTGGGGAGGAGGGAGTGCCCGGGGCCTGAGGCCCCAATTCTAATTTGACATTGGTCCATGGGCAGGAACTGAAGCTGGTGTTCCCAGGTGCCCAGCGCATGAACCGAGGTCGGCACGAGGTTGGCGCGCTGGTGCGAGCTTGCAAAGCCAATGGGGTCACCGACCTGTTGGTTGTCCATGAGCACCGAGGCACACCTGGTAAGGCCTGCCAGAGGGAAAGGGAGCTCGGGCTGTTCTCATGGCAGAGTGTCTGACAACCTGTCACCTACAGTGGGGCTCATTGTCAGCCATCTGCCCTTCGGTCCTACTGCTTACTTCACACTGTGCAATGTGGTTATGCGGCATGACATCCCTGACCTGGGCACCATGTCAGAAGCTAAGCCTCACCTCATCACCCATGGCTTTACCTCACGGTTGGGCAAGCGGGTAAGTAGGGGAACCTGTGCGGGGGCAGGGCAGGGCAGGGCAGGGCAGGGCAGGGCAGGGCAGGGCAGGGGCAGTAAGGATCGGGCCAGCCCCAGCGTTCTCCTTTCCGCTGCCCCAGGTGTCTGATATCCTCCGTTACCTGTTCCCTGTGCCGAAGGACGACAGCCACCGGGTCATCACCTTTGCAAACCAGGATGACTACATTTCATTCCGGTGGGTCTCTGGGCTGAACTGGGGGCATCATGACCTTTGTGGCCTTTTGGCTGACCCACATTCCTGTCTATTCTTCCTTTCTCCCCAGGCACCATGTCTACAAGAAGACAGACCACCGCAATGTGGAGTTGACTGAGGTTGGGCCTCGATTTGAGCTGAAGTGTGAGTTTGGGCCTTTAGTTTATGCTGGGAGCGCGGGGGGGGGGGGGGGGGGGGGGGGGGCTAGAGGAGGGGCTTGGTTGTGCATGGGATGACGTCTCTTTCCCCTGACCCTAGTGTACATGATTCGCCTGGGCACACTGGAGCAGGAGGCCACAGCAGACGTAGAGTGGCGCTGGCACCCGTATACCAACACTGCCCGCAAGAGGGTCTTCCTGAGCACTGAGTGAACTGTGAGCTGCTGCTGGCCAGTAGGCTGCAGACTTGGACTCTTGGGGCAGGGCCTTGTCACAGACAGATTGACTAATCCCAAGTGGGGACTGGAAGGATCTAAATAAACCCTCTGTCATCTTGCTACCCAACTGCCTCTAACTGGTCAGAGTGGGCCTACGCTCTGTCAGGCCAGACCTGAAAGATGAAGCCCACGGAGTGTCTGTGGTCTGAAGACCTAAGGAGTGGAGTGTCCTCAGGCCTAGGTTTGTGTGGAGTAGAAACAGTCCCTCTCAGGCTGGGGATGGTGCTGCAGATTCCCCACTGGGAAGTGAATGGTTGTCTCCTCAGGAGTTGGGCCCTGTGAACACTTATTTCGGTGTTTAGGGTAAGTCTTCTTCACCAGCAGCAAGCTGACCCCATTCGAGTGCCAGCCTAACTTGTCAGTTCAACGGGGTCCCTCTGCCAAGCAGGTGCATCCTCCCTTTTCACAGAAGACGTGATGCCAACAGCCTGCCTACCATTCCTCTA